GCAAATCCTGGTGGAGGAAAAATCTATATTCTGTCGTGAGACTTCATGTTCTGGAGGATTTTCTACTTTCCTTCGATTACGTGAACATTTGGAGAAAGTACTGCACCTGTACAGTACATGGATTTGCCTGTGAAATTGAGAAGCTGGAATTCAAAAATATGAAGGGTAAGTAAATTCTCTTCTGAAATTTTAATAATGCTGTATTTAATTAATATATCTTAAAATAATTGTTTTTATGAATTCAAATCTTAAAATTAAAAGAATTTAAGAACGTTAAGAAGTTATTCTACAGAATTTAATTACAGTAGAGCGTCGATTATCCGAATCAATTGGGGACTGGGGTTGTTCGGATAAATGACATTTCGGATAACCGATTATGTATGAAAAAATTGTTTAACCTATCCAATGTTAAAAATTTTCTCCGTTGCGTGTCGCTTTGCGTTGAAGTTTCGTTGATGTTAAGCCTAACGAAAACTATTGTATCGTTAAAAATTATTTTTTTATTTTGTACAAACTAAATAAATATATTGAAAAATATAAAAACAATTAAAACTTATATTTCAGATGTTAATGTAATATCAAAAACGTAAAATATTTGAGTAGCCCAAGACATAGCCAAAGATTACAGCGCCACAGCACTGGCGAAAATTTAAATTTGCCGACTGGAATTCTTTCGGATGATTGACTTTCGGATAACCGACGCTCTACTGTATTCTGTAGAATAACTTGTATAATACAGTCTACTGTATAATTTTAAATGTTTTGATAAAAATAATGTATAATAGTCATCTTTTAAAGTTATAATATAAACATTGAATATTAGACAAAAGACAAATTTGACGTTCAACAAACGTTTAACAGTAGCAAATTTTGTTCGTAATAAATTAATTCTGACTGGTGTATTTACACCACAGTCAGAATTATGTTGTCGACCTTTTTTGACGTCACGAAGTAGCGACATCTCGTGGTTAAAAACAGAACTACGGCTTCGGAATAGTTCTGTAATTAGACGCCAGTTTGTCGAATATGGACAGCTTCCAAGCAACCAAATTATAGGCATTTGCTTATGCGCTTAAAGAGCACCAACCTCATGCAGTTTAGCCGGTAAAAGCTACACACCAAAATATAGTATAACGCTTCCAATGATTCTATCTAGGCCGCCCGCGTGTAAGATATTTGGCAGCCCTCGCTCCATTATGTGTGAATCGAGAGTAGATATATAACTTAAACCAACCGATAGGAGTTTATTGGTATGTTTTTATGATAGTTCTTTATAGTTGACAGGAGTTTAAAAAAATCTATTAAAATATTCCATATTTTTATTATGTTCTCGCATTTTGTATTACTTACAGATTTCAGTGTTAAAATATATTTAGAGAAGTCTACGGTTTTTACTGGCTTATCGAACAAACGAATACGAATGGACCCTACACCATCGCTGACGCCTGATTGCCCCTGGAAGTCGGCTTCTTACAGAAACACAACTTGTCTCAGTTCTAGTTGCACTCATATTTGTAAGGAAAAGAAGAAAATGAAAATGAAAATTTATAAATCATTTTAATATACGAAATACAAACATAAGGACAAAGCAGAAAAATTACGAAAGAACGCAATATAAAAATAAGAATTTTTATCTAAAAATCATAGAGATGTATATGCTGCAAAATGTCTTATTGCAGGACAGAAAATGACCCTTTAGCCATTATTATTATTAATTATATAATTTATTATGTTATTTCTCTGTACCGCGTAGCGTTACCGTGAGAATGAAAACATAGTCGTTATTTACTGTAGGTATGTTTTGTTAAGCTAAGGCAACGCAACACTTGGACGATCTGCCTGAAGGGAATGCCTTCCGGAATAATTGTAACTGGCTCTTATTCATACGTCACAGACGTTGAGAAAACCCAGAAAATTCCACCTGGCTAGCCTGTCCACGACCGAACTTCCTGTGTTCAGGGAACCGTTGGTCACTGGTAGGCCATAATTTATTATTACTTAGTTATAACACGATCGCCCTTATAATTTTATTTTTTCAGGCTTGATACAAAAGACAGTGTGAATGTTGAAGATTTACGATTATAATAAAAAGCAATAAAGAAATCTAAAAAATTAATTTGATATAAAGCATAAAAGATATTAAACAGTAACTTACCGTGTATTATACACGTAAAGTGGATAGGGCAGTCTATACTGTGTTTCAAGTTGTTCCTCAATACGACTCAAATATAAAATGTCTCCCATTGTTTTTTTGGGGGTAAAATTATATGCAATTATTTCGAATAATTAACGTCGCAAGCTCATTATTTTTTACGTTTCCTTGTTTAGAAACATAAGTAAACTAGCAGGTGGGCCCGGCGTTGCTCGGGCAAAAGTAACGATAACTATGATAAAGATTATTACGTTACAGTAAACCTTACCCATTTTCACAGAATGCAAGAATTGGGTCCCCTTGTTTCCAGACTAATTAGAGAATTTTTAGATGGGTCTAAAAATATGTTCGATTTTCCGCAAAAACGAAAAAAAAAAACTGCATCTGCGTCTTACACGTCGCATTCTCTTAACAATTCCATTGTTACGTAGCATTTCCATTGTTTCTTAACACTTCCATTGTTATTTAGCACTTCCATTGTTACTTAACACTTCCATTGTTGATGGAAGTGTTAAGCCTTAATCCTGTCTCTCTCCCCCGTGGGGAGGAATTTCGAAAAATCCCTTCTTAGTGTGCGTTTTCGTGACGTACCCTATCTGTGTACCAAATTTCAACTTTCAACTCCTAACTGTTTGGGTTCTGCGCTGATTATTATTATTATTATTATGTGTTGGGTTTAATGGGTTATACTCGGTACACACCGGTATTATTATTATTATTATTATTATCATCAACCCGTATCGATTATATATTAGATAAGTAAACAGTAAATTGGTCTTAGTAATAAATACACCATACGCATGAATTCATTGTTAAAAATCAGTCAAAAGATGAGTTTTAGAAAACATCGTAAATGCCAACAAGGAAAATCTTCATTAAGTCTGACCCCCTCTCGATTTGACATGTGACCACCTTCTATCTCTCCATCCCGTTGACCTTCCACAACTAAAATTAAATAGCATCAACGCCCCTTATATACAAGCCACTGTGGCAGATTTGTTTGTTTCTTTTTTTAATCTTTGTGCCGACCTGAGATATTAAGCAAAATAGAAGCCAACACATACACATATCCACTGATATATTTTTGTTGTTTATATAAATAAGATTTCGTTATAAAAATATAGAAAATTTTTATAACGAAATCTCATAACAGATGGCGACACTAACAATTTTATTTATTTATTATGGTTAATAACGTAAAGGATATTTTTAAATAAAATTTTATAACAACCGGAAAAGTTAATCAACTCGTTGCCAGAATTTTTCTATTCCTGGTTGTTATACGTGCACAACAAAGGAAGGTATTGCAATTCTATCAAATTTGACTCCCCGAGGTTTTTGCAATTCTTCATGTTTTGAGACCTAAACATAGAAAAAGTCAAAAATATTTATGTACTCCATGTACATACACTGTTCATGCTAGTAACGAGTAAAATCGTCATTAAGTTCGACTTTACTCAAAATACGACATATGATCCTCTCAATCTCTCTACATAATCGAACTATAACAAGCAAAATTTATCAGCACCAATGCCCCTAATATACAAATCTCTCCGCATAATTTCAGTAATATTCAACGAAAGACAGAGAGGTTATTAACCTCCAAATTGGATGAGAAAGTCGTGTCCCACATACAAAAAACATTCGTACATACAAAAAAACCTCCGAATTTTTTGGCATTCCTGAATCCAGTATTTCTATGAGAATAATTGAATTCATTCACTCGTATCATTACTAATGTCGTATATATTTTTTATTGTGTAAAAGCACTTCATTATATTTATTAATTTTAATCAAAAGTTATGTTAATCCCGAATTTTCTCGAGTGTGAACGATTTGTAAATAGTAACTATACCTATTAAACGCTGAAAAATTAGAAAATTTCTTGTTACGTATGTATTTATTGAGGCGTAAAGAGGTAGATTGCTGAAAAATAACACTTCTCTAATGAATTTACCCCCAAATACCTCTTTATTAGTAGATTTTTAGAAGAGTTTGAGCTTTGCAACGATAATAACCCGCATACGGGAGGTAGCAAACGACCCTTTTTTCGAAATTAACGTAACCTTAATGCTTCATTATCACTTAAAAATAGGTCATCGTTATTTAACATAAAATGATTATTTATCACATTTAAAAAAATTCTTTTGAAACTTCCGTGGCATTTTAAAGGTTTTTGTAATACCTGAGTCAAATATAATTGCCTTTTTTATGATATGTCTTGTCTTTTAATTTTTGCAAATTGAGTAAATTACCATAGTTAAGTCGTTACATTGTTAAAATTTGCGTGTTGGTTTGTTGATTTTTTTTAAAAAGCGTTATTTACATATTTATCACGTGTATATTTGGTGAGTAATTATGTCTTCTATCACGTCCTATTACCAACGATTACGTAGTAACGATCCCTTCGGTATATATATTCCTTTGGAAGATACTTCGAGCAATACGTCCACAAGAAGTAAAGTGTCCAATATGGTAAGTGAGAAAGGGTGGCATGTAATGTAGTGATGTGCTTTCTGTTTTAAATACTAACTTGTATATTTCTTTCGTATTTTAGAAGCCGGCAGTGTGCACCGTAGTGTTGTTTGTGTTCGTGTACGTGATGGTGACTAATGTTTCAGGATATGGTGCAGGTGGCCACGGAGGTTACGAAGGAGGAAAAAATGAATACGGAAGCGGTGGCCACGGAGGTTACGGAGGTGGAATGAGTGGATACGGAAGCGGTGGAAAGGGTGGATACGAAAGCGGTGGTTACGGAGGTTACGGAGGTGGAATGAATGGATATGGAAGCGGTGGAAAGGGTGGATACGGAAGCAGTGGCCACGGAGGTTACGGAAGTGGAATGAGTGGATATGGAAGCAGTGACCATGGAGGTTATGGAGCAGGCGGTTACGGGAGTCACGGAGGTTATGAAAGTGGAAAAGGAGGCTACGGAGAAGGCAGTCACGGTGGTTACGAAGGTCACAAAGGTTAACTGTATTTGTCCGAGTTCAAATTGCGTAACTGATAATGTAATGTAGAGGTTACTGTGATATATTGTAAAATAAANAGGTTTTGAATTTAAGTATTTAACTCGTAAACAATTCAGAAAAAAGTTATTTTATCGTAAACTTTGTAGATAGAAACTGAGTTGCTTTATCTTTCTGCAGAAACAAAAGGTAAAAACAAATTATAATAAATTCATATGTAATTTTTTACTCTCAGTTAATTATTTTCAATTTGTATTTAGTCTAAAAGTATTTATTTTAATATAAACTAATAATTTATATATAAAATTCTGTAATTATCCATTAGTTAATTAAAATAATAATTTGTATTATGATTTAAGTTTTTATAACGCGATAGGTTTTTGCAATAGGTGTTATCATTATTATAGTATTATACGTGTTAGATGCGAGTAATTAATTACTGCATGCGTTTTAATATAATTGGTTTTAAAAGATTATTAATTGTAATTTATTTTACACGATAGAATAGTTTTACTCATAGATGTAAATTAGTTGCTTTACGATTCGTTTTTTCAAGAAACTTTTTTAATTCGTTGTCGTTAATCAGGTTTTTTTAAACTCGTGTGCAGACACGAGAAACGAAGGATAGTATTTTTGGTATAACCTTTATATAGGAAATCGATCTGTGTACAGGCTATGAGAACTTCGCTCATCCATTGGTGTTACTAGCGTGAAGAAAAACCCGGAAAATTTCACGTAAATTGACGCCTTCTGTCGGTGAGGGGTCAATTTACGACTAACTACTGCAATTTTAGTTACAGCCTCTCAATAATTGCTCGAAAACCTCGATACTGGAAAACCACATAAAACATATTTTGTATTGAACAGTAACCTGGTATTATGTAGTTTTTCTATTCGAATGCTACCACCGTGCGCCAACAGTCCCTTCTGGTGCGATAGAAAGAAGGGACTGTTGCGGTAGGTGGTCCAACTAATTTGTTTATAATTAGTCGCTGACCTTCTCTTGACAACAAGAAGATCAACGACTACTAAATAATACCAATCAGTGGCGTGCCATTTGATGATAGGGAAGCCGTGTTTTTGTAAGAAGCCGACTTCCAGGGAGAATCGTTAATTCAGCGTCAGGATGATCTAGGGTCGTTCGCGTGTGGGTGTGGAGACACGGATGACAAGAATCTCATAGAAACCCGTTTATTTTAAACATATAATAACTTACACTATGAAACAAAAATGTTCTTTATACAATTGGAGGTTCAAATTGTCGATGGAGTTTCTAATGTTGCTCAAAGGAAGGCCCCGGGGCAACCGCAGGTGTGGAGATTCGCCAGTCGGTGTCGGCGGTCTGAGTTTGTGGTCACAGGTAACCAGTTGGGCACAATAGACGGAAAACTGCTTTTGCGCGATGACTAACCTCACAGTCTCGGAAAGTAAGTCTGTCCTTAAAGATCGGGGATTATATCAATCACTCAGCAAAGTACTCAGCAAATCACTATACATATAACTAACAGCTTATCCTTGCCGAGAAATATAATTTATTTCAAACAAACGTTTTCAGCCTGATTCATAGGCCATCTTCAGGTTGAGAACCAAATTTGAATTAAATAATTCTATTAATGGAATACAAAATTCGAAATTCAAAATTAAGTAAGCAACAGAATAAGATAAAATAAAAAATAAAAAATTAAATAATAAATAACTAACGGAGTAACATAAAATAAAAATATAAAAATGTAAAAATGTACTGTACATAGAAGTATTAAGAAATACAATTACTAAAGCATCCAATAAAATTATTATTTTGACTGGTTAGAGCTCTTATTAAATTTCTAAACTATATAAACTTCCATGCAGAGGGAAGACTTTCTGCATCCCTAGCATTTAAACAGCCTTCTTGTATTTTACTCCTATAAATCTGCAACTTTTCCGCTGTCAACGCCAAAGATGGAGAAGATAAAGGTTCTATAATGGCTACCTCATTCAATTTGACTACAGATTTTGGTGTTGGCGCCATTTGGGACAAAACATATGGGACAAAATTGTTGCATTACACTCCTTTCTAATATTATAACTATGCTCCTTGACTCTAAGTCCCCAAACTCCCGGTGGTTACTCCAATATAGTCTTTTTTTAACGCCCAATTGCATATAGAATTCCGTATGATAATATTAGTTATAATATCAGAAAGGAGTCTAATGCAATAATTTTGTTCCATATGTAAATACTTGGATCCTATGTTAACAAAAGTTATATTAAATATTCATTAAAATACATTATTACAGGTAGGCTTTACTTTCAAATGCGTCAAATAGGACGAGTGAGCGACGGGATATGAGTTCTCAATTCTTTTATTGTTAATATTTACGCATCTATTATATTCATTATTTATGTACTTTTTACATTATTCATAACGAAATGAATATTGCATACTTCAAAAATGTTTTAGTTTTATTGGTTAAATACATTAAACTATAAAATAACAATTATTAAGATTGCATTCACTGAGAAAGTTGTAGCTTCTGGAAATCAAGTGGATCCATTAGCTGTTACATGATGCAAATCCGAACAAGGCAACCTTCCCATCTACTGTTAAAGGTATTACACACTTCAAGATAACTCGTAACACTACTCAGCTAGACATTAAGTGGGATGCGAACCCTCCACCATTGAGTTTATTTACTTAGCTTCTGGTGGCACCACTCCTTTGTAGATTATTGTACGTTAGTAAAAGTTGTCCACTCCTCTGATTATAGTATTGATACTGTTACTTGACACTAAAAGTTTCGTATAAATTTATAACAACGAGAGCTTGAGTGATAAAGAAACAGAATGCCTGCAAGAGAAAAAAATGCCAAAATTGATTTATATTGAGATAAATATAATTTTAACATTTTAAAGTACACCTACCTTCAATATAGATAGTTGCGTTATGGGAAAGTAATGAAAAAAATTAAAAGTTAATTCTGATTCGTAGTATCGATTTAACATGTTGTACAACTATAAAAAATAAAGTGACAATATAATTTTATATATATCTTATTAGAATAAAATTGCTAGTAGAGAGGTTGCGGCCGAAGTTTTTATCTTTAAAACGTGAACGTCGAACGTCGAGTGTCGCGGCGCTCGATCGTTGTAAGCGGCGCTCGACGTTCGACGTTCACGTTTTAAAGATGAAAACTTCGGCCGCAACATCGCTAATGACATACACGATATAAACGTTAGAAAATTACCATAATGATATCTTCTTTACTTTTGCAATGAACGTGTAACTTATATAACTTCGAATATATGTCAATTTCCTATAAAATAAATCATCATCATTATTTTTAATGTCAGTAAATATATCTAAATTAATATTTTAATTGTTTCTTAAATATGTTTTAGTCATACTTCTTTAAAAGATATTTGTTTGTTTTTCTTGTCAATACTCAAGAAATACTCATCACTGATCAGTTTCATTCATGTCCATTATCTACAGATACTCCACTTTGGACGAATAAATGAATGCAGTTCATTGTTTCTATTCTTAATTTTGGCAGATTGAGCTGCTGAGAATCGAAAAACGACATATTTAACTCAATCCTCGATACTGTGACGAGCACAAGTTATTTGTTATTTCGAAACTATTTAGCTAATTTTTATTAAATGTCCAAGTAATCAATAACAAAACTCAGTGGTTTGAACCTTTGTGTTTTTGAATGTTCTTAAAAATTCCCCCGAAATTAAAATAATAATAACTTACCTTATTACCCAAACTTGATAAATAAAATAAATATATGAAAAATAGAAGACAAATGACACCGATACAGACTACAATTATAAGTTTGAGTTTGCCGTCTTCTCCAGAATTTCCCAGAAAGCTTATTCCTAAAGAAAACTCGGTGCATAATATAACAATTAATATAAAAAAAGTGTACCAACTCTGAATAAAATTGCCGAACTTCAAAATGTCTTTTGAATTTTCTAAACATTTCCATATTTTTTTTAATGGAAACATTTCATTTCCATATTTTATGTATCCGTATAAGCAAGACGATTGCATCTTCAACAATTCGCATATCAAGAATACAAACAACATATGACTCATGGAAATTGCCGTAAGGTAAATTAAATCTATATTGTTTAAAGTTATGCATATTGTATCTTTAATTGTCCATTTATAATTGTTAATCGTTAAAAGTAGTAACCCGTTTGCATATATCAGAAACACATTTAGAATTGTAACAAAACTCACCCACAGCTTGCAGAATAAATGTTGAATTTTTAAGAGTTTCGGTAATTGGGTGTAGGAAAATAATCGATCACTTAGGATATCCGTGAGGACCTGTTCATTGTTTTCAAAAATATTTCTATATTCTTCAGAATTCCACGCGCATAGACAAAGAAGTGTAATTAGATTTAATATTAGCATTGTGAATCTTATGGCATTCGCGTGTTCTTTATAAGCTCCAGAAAATTCGCATAAATCCATAGCCATGGTCTCGTTCTGGGTGTATAGAACAATGCCATAAATTGTAACTCTAATAAAAGTGAACGCTTTCAATATGGAGACATAGAAGAACATAAATTTACCCTTCTTTCTATTACTCAAGAATGAAATATCGAATCCTGAAATTCTCAAAATTAGCAAGAAAGGAGATAAAATTAAGTCTGGGAAAAGTTGCTTGGTGTCCATTTTGATGCAATTTTTAAATGAATCTATTTATAATATATGCTATCTGATAAAACTTCATAGAAAAGAATAAATATTTGATGAGAAATTATATAAAATGGACTACTTACCATAAAATACCTTTTAAGATAAAGGCATTTTAAAACTCTGCGAAGCAATTAGTTTCTATGGAGACTTCCAAATTATATAAAGTAAAATAATAAGCCAAAGTCTGGCCTTCTATATCGTGTTTCATTGTTGACAAATCAATTAATCAATTTATGGGATTACGTTATATACTTTAACTAATATCAATTAGAGGAAAGTGCTCTTAATGAACACGTGTTTACAATTAAGTATCGCATGCAAAATGCCTCATTCTTAATGTAAGTTATTACCATTTCAATAAATGTAAAATATAAGTGAATTTAAAACGTTGAATAAACTGCATTAACTTTATGGCCAACACTAGTTATAAAATAATAGCCACACTTGCAGTAATAACCTGTTATCGTTTATTTGTATACGGCAATGAGACACACAGACGATTTGCCGGGGGGGATACTTTTTGAGAGGACTTTGTATGGGAAACTGGCTCCTATGTAGGTTTTATTAAATGTAAAGAAAATCAAGAAAACTCCACGTGGTCAGCTGGTTTGCCAGGAGTGAACTCATGACCAATTACCAGTATTAAGTGGTTTTATTCACTTGACCATTAATTTAATTAGCAGCCATATTAATCTAAATATATAAAATTACTTGTCCTGACTGACTGAGTGATTGACTGATTCATCATCGCCCAGAGCAAACCGCTGAATCTAAAGAAGTGAAATTTTGTACACAATTAGGGTACGTCATGAAAACACACAANATTTTTCAATATATTTATTTTATTTGTACAAAATAAAAAAAATAATTTTTAACAATACGATTGTCTTTGTTAGGTTTAACATCGACGAAAATTCAACACGAAGCGACACACGACGTTGAAAAATTTCAACACGGGATAAATTAATATATTTTTTCGTACATAATTGGTTATCCGAAAAATAAGTTATTCGAACAACCCCAGTTCCCAATTGATTCGGATAAACGACGCTCTACTGTACTTGTCCTGACTGACTGAGTGATTGACTGATTCATCATCGCCCAGAGCAAACCGCTGGATCTAAAAAAATGAAATTTTGTACACAGTTAGAGTATATCATGAAAACGCACAATAAGTAGGGATTTTTCGAAATTCCCCCGCGAACGGGAGAGGGAGAGGATTAAGTCTTAACCTGAAAAACGGCTTCTACTGTACTATTTTAGATGCGATTTTTTGTTTTCAACTATGTTTAGTTTTTATTGTGTATTTAGGCGTATTAATTAATTAAGGATTACCTTGAAAAACTTGGTTTCTACTCTACCAGATAAGGTTTTTTTTTTCCAAATTTTTTGCACAGAATACAGAATGAGAACATAGTCGTTATTTACTGAAAGTTTGTTTTGTTAATCTACGGCAACGCAACACTTGGACGATCTGCCTGAGGGTAATGCCTTTCGGGAGAACTGTAACTGGCTCCTATTCAGACGTTACAGACGTTGAGAAAACCCAGAAAATTCCATCTGGCTAACCTGTCCACGACGGAACTTCCTGTGTTCAGGGAACGGAACCGTTGGCCACTGGTAGGCCATAATTTATTATTACTTAGTTATAACACTAGCGCCCTTATAATTTTATTTTTTCAGGCTTGATACAAAAAACAGTGTGAATGTTGAAGATTTACGATCATTAGAAAAGTCGATTATAATAAAATGCAATAAAAAAATCTAAAAAAATTTATTTCATATCAAGTATAAAAGATATTAATCAGTAACTTATTGTGTATTATACACGTAAAGTGCATAGGGCAGTCTATACTGTGTTTCAAGTTACTCTTCAATATGACTCAAATATAAAATGTCTCCTATTGTTTTTTGGGGGGGGAAGTTATATGCAATTATTTCGAATAATTAACGTCGTAAGCTTATTATTTTTTACGTTTCCTTGTTTCGAAAGACAAATAGCTATTAGTCTTTCGAAGTAAGTAAATAATTAATAAAGAGTAAATTGGTCTTAGTAATAAATATACCATACGCATAGATTTATTGTTAAAAACCAGTCAAGAAATGAGTTTTAGAAAACATTGTTAGTGTTAAGAAGGAAAATCTTCATTAAATCTGACCCCCTCTAGATTTGACATGTGACCACCCTCTATCTCTCCATCTCCTTGACATTTCAGAACAGAAATTAAATAGCATCAATGCCCCATATATACAAGCCACTGTGGCAGATTTGTTTCTTTTTTTTTATCTTTGTGCCGACCTGAAATATTAAGCAAAATAGAAGCCAACACATACACATATCCACGGATATATTTTTGCCGTTTATGTAAATAAGATTTCGATATAAAAATATATAAAATTTTTATAATGAAATCTCGTAACAGATGGCGCCACAAACAATTTTATTTATTTATTACTGTTAATAATGTAAAAGATATTTTTAAACGAAATTTTATAAAAGCCTAATAGGTTAATGAACTCGTTGCCAGAACTTTTCTATTCCCAGTTGTTATGCGTGCACAACAAAGGAAAGTATTGCAATTCTATCAAATTTGACTCCGTGAGGATTTTGCAATTCTTCATGTTTTGAGACCTGAACATAAAAAATAACGAGTAAAATCGTCGTTAAGTTCGACTTTACTAAAAATACCACACATGATCTTCTCAATCTCTCTACATAATCGAACTATAACAAGCAAAATTTATCAGCACCAATGCCCCTAATACACAAATCTCTTCGCATAATTTCAGTAATATTCAAAGACAGAGAGGTTATTAACCTCCAAATTGGATGAGAAAGTCGTGTCCCACATCCAAAAACATTCGTACATACAGAAAAACCTCCGAATTGTTTGGCATTCCTCAATCGAGTATTTCTACCAGAATAATTGAATTCATTCACTCGTATCATTACTAACGTCGTATCTATTTTTTATTGCGTGAAAGCACTTCATTATATTTATTAATTTTAATCAAAAGTTATGTTAATTCCGAAATTTCTCGAGTGTAAACGATTTGTAAATAGTAACTTTACCTATTAAAGGCTAAAAAATTAGAAAATTTCTTGTTACGTATGTATTTATTGAGGCGTAAAGAGGCAGATTGATGAAAAATGACATTTCTCTAATGAATTTACCAACGAATATATTTTTATTAGTAGATTTTAGAAAAGTTTGAGCTTTGCAGCGATAATAACCTGCATACAGGAGGTAACAAACGACCTTTTTTTTCGAAATTAACGTGACCTTAATGCTTCATTATCACTTGAAAATAGGTCATCGTTATTTAACATAAAATGATTATTTATCACATTTAAAAAAATTTTTTTGAAACTTCCGTGGCATTTTAAAGGTTTTTGTAATACCTGAGTCAATTATAATTGCATTTTTTATGATATGTCTTGTCTTTTAATTTTTGCAAATTGAGTAAATTACCATAGTTAAGTCGTTACATTATTAAAATTTGCGTGTTGGTCTGTTGTTTTTTTTAATAAAAGCGTTATTTACATATTTATCACGTGTATATTTGGTGAGTAATTATGTCTTCTATCACGTCCTGTTACCAACGATTACGTAGTAACGATCCCTTTGGTATATATAATCCTTTGCAAGTGACTTGGAGCAATACGTCCACAAGAAGTAAAGTGTCCAATATGGTAAGTGAGAAAGGGTGGCATATAATGTGGTAATGTGCTTTCTGTTTTAAATACTAACTAGTATATTTCTTTTGGATTTTAGAAGCCAGCAGTGTGCATCGTAGTGTTGTTTGTCTTCGTGTACTTGATGGTGACTAATGTTTCAGGATATGGTGGAGGTGGACACGGCGGTTACGGAGGTGGAAAGAGTGGATACGGAAGTGGTAGTCATGGAGGTTACGGAAGTGGAATGAGTGGATATGGAAGCGATGGAAATAGTGGATACGGAAGCGGTGGTTACGGAGGTTACGGAGGTGGAATGAATGGATATGGAAGCGGTGGAAAGGGTGGATACGGAAGCAGTGGCCACGGAGGTTACGGAGGTGGAATGAGTGGATATGGAAGCGGTGGCCACGGAGGTTACGAAAGTGGAATGAGTGAATATGGAAGCGGTGGCCATGGAGGTTATGGAGGAGGCGGTTTCGGGAGCCACGGAGGTTACGGAGATGGAAAAGGAGGCTACGGACAAGGCGGTCACGGTAGTTACGGAGGTCACAAAGGTTAATTGTCTTTGTTTGAGATTAAATTGCATAACGGATAATGTAATGTAGAGGTTACTGTGATATATTGTAAAATAAAGACATTTTTATTTAAATCTTTTGCGTTTTCGTGGTTACTTTTCGGGATTTTTAAATGCTTAGCTACAATTTAGTCGATTAAATTACACTATCATAAATAACGTTTTGAACAGAAATAAAAGAGAAGATATTAAGAAAGATGTCACAAAGCTTGTAGAGGTGAAAAAGAGGAATTTAATGGAGAACAAGCAATTATTTATAGTGACATGGTCACAATGCCGGGCTGCAATATTTAATCATATTTTTTATTTAAAATATGTTCTCTCCACTTAAAATTAGTAGTGTCTTGCCCCTGTACATCATACTTTTACTGAAACAATAGTCATCTATTGTTCCCTGAAGTTGTTAGATAGATGAACTGCCGTTCATCTATCTAACAACTTCAGGGAAAAATGTTTGAATTAAAATAACCTGCCTTCTGATTTGTATCGAAAGTTTTTGTATACTCTAATACTATAAAAAGGCATCCCCCTAGTCATATCGCCCAAGTGTTACGTTGCCATAACCAAATAAATATCCGGTAATTAATGCTGCCAGCAATTCTTATACTCTGAATTTTTATGCCGGCTGTTTATAAAAGACTTCCCTCTAAAAATCTGATATAAATTAGCACACTTCCAGTTCTAAGTATGAGATAATTAATTCCATCTGGAATACTACAATATCGAATATATATGTTACCGATAAAGATCGAAATCCGTTAATGTGCACATTACCTAGCTCATCTGCACATTAACTAGGGTGATCCGTTAAAGTTGCTAAAATTGTTCTATTTCTCAAATTACCTAGGTAATATGCAAATTATTATGGTAATCTGCACATTACCTACTAGTCACTCGGTAAAGAAAAAATAAGATTTTTGCTGGAACAACAGCAACGTTTGGAATCAAACAATCAACAAATTAGTTGATTGAATCAATCATCAATCAATTAAAAAAACTTTAATACAAAAATCAAACGGTTTAAAATACTAAAACAATTGTATGCAAAATCTGAATTCAGTGTTCGCAAAGAAAGATTTTTAACGAAAGAAGATGGATGTTTCTGCTGTAGAAATATCTTTACGTCAAACAGCAATAAAACAATCCCTTGGTACTGGGCAGGGTTTCAGAAAATGCGACTGCAAATCTAAATGTACCACAAATAGGCGTGCTTGTCGCAAAAACCAATTGCTGTGTAATTCAAAGTGTCACGAATCTTTAGATTGCACTAATAAGTAAGTACAATTTTATCATATATTTTGCAAATTCATTTCCCTAATAGTAATAATATTTTAAACCGTTTGATTTTTGTATTAAAGTTTTTTTAATTGATTGATGATTGATTCAATCAACTA